TTACGTACTACACACACACACACACACACACACACACACACACACACACACACACACACACACACACACAGAGTTTAATCAAAAACCCAATTTTCCAGTGAAAAGAGGTTTCGATGGAAATATTTGACCAACCCTAGTAAAAATCATCTCAAGAACATTGTGATTCTCATTAAAAACCTACAGAAAACCCTGTTAAAGACTGAGGCTGTATTGCATAGACAGGCCAAATAAACAGGGATGGCTGACTGGGGATAGCAGCCTTAGGCCCAGTTTATAAGATGATGCAACATATTGGCATCTAGTTTCCTTCTAGGATCCAGTTCGCAGTGCAACAATACCTCATCTGGAAGGAACAATTGCATCTCTCTAGCTCAGCTAGTTTTTCCTGTCCCTAGTGCCACATACTTTCCCTGGCAGCTTTTACCAGTTCAAGGGCAGGGACCAATTGTCCTCTGAGAGACGTCAAAGGATAAGTCTGAATCTCCTTCCTTTGGAGTGTCTTTTCCTGTGTTTTAGGGAGCTTGCAGGGATTAGAACTGGATGAAAAATGGGAGGGGGTGGGGAAGTTGCATAAAAATGAAATTTCCAAGTTATTTTCATTTCAAAGTGTGTGGAAATACCCATGTTTAGAGCTCTGTTTTTCTCTCTCTCTCAGAAACTTTGTTGGAAATGATTGAGATCCAATAAAGTGAGTGGTAGGCATGGGCGCCAGGTTTGCATAATTTTTGGTGGTGCCAAGGAGCTGCCTTCTCTGCCATTGTGCAACGATTTTGTGACTCATATTAAGACAGTGAGTCTTCATCTCCCTCTAGTTACTGGTCCATGTACTATACCAATTAATAAGCCTAGTCCTTTAGTACCCAGTGGTAGCGGCTGGTGCTTTTAGAGTTGAAGGACTCAGGTTCAAACCTCACTATTTCCATAATTTAAGTGCAGCTCCCTACAGTGGAAGCTTTTGTAAAAGCTGCTCTTCCGTCCCCACTTCCCTGGTGGGGCTGCAGGGACACAGCAGGAAAGGGACGAAGAGGAAGCCACTATATTCAGTCCCTGTGTTGCTGTCACGCCCAGCTCTCCAGCCGCACACAGACAGGGAGAATGGAGGAGACTGTGCCTGTGAGCGGGGATATAGAGCCCTCTATAGTCCAGAGGGGAAGTGACACATTTTAGATACGCTGCTCCAGCCCTGGAGGAGAAAGGAAGTGGTAGCCTTGATGAGAAAAGGGTCAGCGCCCATTTCTCTGAATGCTGGTATTTAAAACGTCAGTGTCTACTGGAACTAGAGCGTCAGAGTTAAGGTGCTTCAGGTGCTGTTTCTATTCAATATAGAGAGTTTCTATTCAATGTTGTGTGTGTGTGTGTGTGTGTGTGTGTGAGAGAGAGAAATGGCTATTTGTGTGACCGTAGCTTGTGATTTCCTTAGTTGGTAATGTTTCTATTTGTATTTTTGTGGTGGATCTTATTTTGATATGAACATAGTAGCTTTAGCTGGAAGGTAATTAAAGGATTTGGGGGGTTTTTTTTGAGGGGGATTGGAAGAAAAAGTTCCACATGGGAACTTACCCTTTTATATGGTCCCATAGTTGTAATCATTTCTTTCTCCAGGTTAGATGGCTAAGCATCTGGTGGCTGGAACAGGTGAAAGAGACAAAATTAGTATATTATAATTCTGTATATTGCAATAGCCCATAGAAGTCCCAAGGGCTAGATCACATAAAAAATCCACATGGAAAATGTTGGCTTTTTATCTCCCATCTCCCCCCATATTTTTCTTTTTGTTTTGTTTTTCAGCACCCAAACATTCTCAGCCAAAAACTGCTGAAAAACAAAAAACAAATAAACCAAAAGTTTAGCAACAATTTTAAAAAATGTTTTTGTCTAATTTTTTTTGTTTCAGTTTCCTGATTGGAAATAGATTTTTTTTTCAGTTAAATTAGACAAATTCTGATATTGAAAATAATATATAAAAAAAGTTTTGTAGGAAATTGTTTTGACCATCCCAACTAGAGCCCCAATGTGTTAGTACAAACACGTCAGGAAAAGACAGCCTCTGCTTCTCAAAATTTACAATCTCAATAGACATCTAGAGACAAGTGGATACAGCAAAGGATTGGTGGAGGAGCACAGGTTATCTATAAGATTTCATGCTGTCTGCCTGGCCCAAGTTTATGGTGATGTTTTTAAAAATGTGGTTAAGGTATTCCCTTAAAAGTAGATTGAAATTTTTCTATCAAAACTGGGTTTCTTGACTGAAAATTGGGTTTTGCCCCCCCCCCCCAAAAATTGAAAAATCAAATGCCTGAAAACCAAAATATGGAAACAGAAAATTTTCCATGTGGAAACACTTCCATGGTATCTCAAATGAAGCAGCCCAGAGAGAGACTGGTTGTATAGGTGTGGAGAGGTGAAAGGAGTTGATGAGACCCCCCCACACACACACTCTGGCCAGCCCCCTCTTAGCAGCAGTCCCTGGCCTGGAATCTCATTCTCCCTCCAACCACTAATTTCATATCGGGGAGACCTGATGGAAAACTAGCCGAGCTGAAAGCGACCCCAACAGGTCTTTGTTGCTCCCCTGCTGGACCTGGCTGGAAACGTACCGTATTGTCGCCAGACCTCTTTTTCTTCCATATATACTGCTCTATATGCACACAGCCTTTCAGTCACCCGGGCATGTGCCTATATTTGCTCCACCCAGCAGCAGCAGAATCTCCTTTTTGGGAGAATTTTGCACCCAGGGAGTGAAGGGGCAAGAATGAAGCAGACAGCTCTTGTGTGCTATCCATGCCAAGGGAATCGTTATCAGGCAGAGCAACCAACCTACAGCTTCATAGAGAGGTTGATCTTCTCTAGCTATATGCCAGTATATTCTCAATGATTTAAACTTAAGACCACCATATTTAAATGGTTTTAATTGTTTAAGTTAAAACTACTTCCAACAAAGTCTGATGTCAAGTCAAAAATCTGGGAAAATGAGAAGGGAAGGGGGGAAGTACAGTATCCAGAAAAGAAAACAGAAAACAACAGGGGCTCTCTCTGGTCAAAGGTTTTGAAACCTGGGTGCCTAGAGTTAAAGTCTTAAGTTCATAAGTAAACTCCAAAAATGTGTAGGCTTCCCCCTCCCTTAGAAAAAGTTCTAAGTTATCAGCAGCATCTATTTACCTCCGGAGTAGCTGCTGGGTGGACAGTGGTTTTAGAATCAGGACACCTGTTCAGGCACCTAGGAATAGATTTAGAAACTTAACTTCAGACACATAGAGAAAGATTAGATTAAATGATTTTCTCCCAAACAAGTTTAATAAAGGATAGCAGTGACAAAAGTTAAAAAAAAATCCATTCTTTGACCCCTGCAAAAGAAGCCACATGGCTCTTTTGTACACATGGCAAGTGCTGATCAAAATGTCTATTTTCTATCAGCGTGAAACTGTGTACCAAGAAGCAAAAGACTAGTGATCAGAACTGCGCTGAACTGGTTCTTGTTACATCTATGATTCACATATAAAAAGGGGAAATAAAATGATTTTAAAAACACAGGAAAACAAGATAACTTTCAACATGCTAGCCATTCTCCAATGGAAATTTAAATCGTAAATATTTTCTGACTTTTACAAACCTTTGTTGGAATCATAGAGGATCAAACTGCTTTGTTAAGAGTGGGCTCATCTAAGAAGAAAGTTTGGGACAACACTAGATCCTATCATTTATACCACCTTCTCAGTAGCAGAGGATGAATAAAGGGAGCCGGCCTGTTCAAGCCATCAGACTGGACGCGCGAACGAGGAGTGGTTTCTAGGGGAGGGGAGGACCGAAGACCTTTCAGTCTTCATTCAGGTCGGCACCCAGTCTATATAAAGAGGAACTTCTAGACGGCTAGCGTCTTTTTATGTTGGTCAGAAGCGTGGAAGTGAGGGAGGATGTCTGCGCGTGTGCCGAAGAAAGGTGGGAAGAAGCTGATTGCGGAGGGTGCGAAGAAAGCCGATAAGAAGCGTAAGAGGAGCCGCAAAGAGTCTTACTCGATTTATGTCTACAAGGTGTTGAAGCAGGTCCATCCGGACACGGGCATTTCTTCCAAGGCCATGAGTATTATGAATTCCTTCGTGAGCGATCTCTTCGAGCGCATCGCCTCAGAGGCGTCCCGCTTGGCTTTATACAACAAGAGATCGACTATCAGCTCCAGAGAGATCCAGACCGCGGTGCGCCTGCTTTTGCCTGGAGAGTTGGCGAAGCATGCTGTGTCGGAAGGCACTAAGGCTGTCACCAAATATACCAGCTCTAAGTAAAGCTTTGCGTCCTATACCTGTGCTAAGGTGAAACCATCCACCGAATTAAGACCCAAAGGCCCTTTTAAGGGCCACCCACTTTTCCCATAAAAGAGCTGCTCATAGTAAGGGAAATTATTCTAATCAGATTAGTTACGGATTGAGATGTCATCAGTTAAAATGTTCATCATTCCTGATTCTATAAAATTGATAAAAGCAATATTGGTAAAAGAAAACCGGTAAAAAGGTTGTTTTTTAACATAGCCACATAAACAAGCATTATTTGTGGAAGTTAGGTTTGGCTTATAAAATGCGGTTTACCTGCTAATAAATTCTTTGCATAGCAGATACTCTAATCCCTAAATAACCTTGCCTTTTATATTGAAATACGGGTATCAAACGCAGCCAGAGAATTTTTTTGTAGAAACTTTAACTTGTATTGATGAATATTGGGCAAACTGTTGAAGCGTTTTCATTCGCAAAGGACTTGGATAGAGTCTTCATTTCCCGAAGACTGGAAAATCAGCCGCCCCAAAGCTATAACGAAGCGGAAACACCACAATCCGAACAGAAAGGGGATGTGGAAGGAACAAGGTATAAACTAAAAAACTTTTTATCTTCCCCAAAATAAACCTGAAGCCACCCGGCTGTTTCTCTTTACCACTTCCCAGCAATATATTAACAAAATCCGCTGATAAAATTTCGGTCTGAAATGGTGGTTTTCCTCACACAATTGCAGCCTGCCTTTCAGGCAGCAAACCAGGCACTGTCTTCTGCGAAGCTGTCGCAGGAGCCTGGGCATGGCCGTGGAGTGATGCTAACTAAGCAGCAACCTACTTGTAAATCTACATTGCAGGTGCAGACAGCTTGGAAATACACCAGGAGCCGTGGGGCAAGATCCACTCGCTGCCTTTCCAGCTGAGGGAAAACCAACCGCGCTCAGAAATATACGGAGCGGATGGCGGCTCCTGCTGCTCGAGATCACTGGTTTATCAGGTCGGGGCGGCAGCAGGCGTGTGACGTTTATCTGAGGGGGGAGCAGGTCCTTTGTGTTGTGAAAGTTTCTTTAGAAGTCGAATTCCTCCTAAGTCTTCAACTGGAGTTTTTTATAAGACGGGGCTACCTACCTATCTACCGTCCCTGCTCCCCCCGCATGTACATATTCCAATCTGCCCTTGAAAACGCAGGAATCTTGGCCCTCCACCCCAGCCAGCCCTGGCTTCAGGCCGGAGTGCAGCTGAGGCAGAAACAGGACAGTGCTGTCCCGTCCTTGAACCCCTCCCCAACCACGGGTAGTCACGGAAACCTTTCGAGCATCCTACCATGACTGCATTATGGGCAATACCAGAATGCATATAATACGTGGGGATTTAGGTTGTTTCCAGATTACTTGTACGTTTCCTCCACCTGTCACATCACATTCTGAGATAAAGTTGGGAATAATTCTGGGGTTTAAAATGTTCATAGTTCGATACACACAACTCCTATAGCTTCTGGTCACTTGGTCGCCATATCTGATTTTTCACACTCGTTCCCGTCAGGCAGTGACAGAGGCTCGTCATATTTAATAATATAGTAAACCAGCCCGCATATCTCGCCTCTTTCTAAAGGGGAGGGGGAAGACCTAAAAAGCCTGTTTCTGGTTTCCCTAGCGCACCCACTGTTTTCCGCTGAAATCAAAGGGAGATTTGCCAGGCTAGGGATGCAGTGTAAGGGAGACATCAGGGCATTCGTGCTTAAAGCTCTCCTGGACATGGTTTGGGGTGGCTCTTAAAAGAGCCGTTGTTGTTTCGTTGCGGTGAATCCATAGGTCTGTTAAGATTTCCGCTGGGGAGCCATTGCCCCGCGAGCAGAGGAAGCCGCAGAAGTCTTGCCAGCTCCTTTGCCTTCGGCCACGTTCCGTATCTTCCCGGGGGGCTTTGTCCCCGTCCCTTTGTTTTTCTTCTCGATCTTTTTAGCTTCCTTGTTGGCAAGCGGCTTTTTATCTGCCTGTCTCTTCTGCTTTGCCGGCTTCTTGGCCTCCTTGGTCTTGGGCAGCTGCAGAACGAGCTGCGTTTTGCCGACCCCTGGTTCTTTGCTGAGCTTGTAGGAGCCGGGAGCCCCAGTCACTCCAGGCACCTTGCACAGGATGTTGTTGGTGACCAGCTTCTTGAGCGCCGCTTTGATGCGGCTTTTGTTCCTCTGGACGTCGACTCCCGTCGCCGCCAGCTCCTTCTCGATGGCCACCAGGGAGAAGCCCTTGCGGCTCTTGGAGAAATCCACGCTCCACAGGATGAGCTGGGCAAAAGCCGGCCGCTGTCTTCGAGGCGGCTTCTTCTTCCTTCTCTTCTTTTTACTTTGGCTGGCTGGAGCTGCGGCTGGAGCTTCAGCGGCCGTTTGTGCTGTATTCATCTCGGCCTAAAGGGGGCGCCGCTTCTGCAGCCACCAGCACTGCTCCAGGCGCCTGCGGCGCAGTCTGTCCCCCAGTCGCTGCTCTCGCCGCTCACGCCGCCGACTGGAAGCCAGGGCTGCTGCCCGCGGCTAATTATAGCCGGGACCCCGACGCAACCGAATCAACCTCCCGCCCCTCCTGCTGCCGCAGCTCTAGCCTCTCCTCCAAAGTGTGTCTCTCCAGCACCGAGAACCTGAGTTTCTAAGAGCACACGAGGCCTCCTGTCATTCCACAACAGACATCTTGTCCAGATCGGGAGGGTGTTTCATTCCCTGGCGTTGGTGTTAAGGAATGAACCTCCTGCTGAGGGGTGTGGGGGGAGAGAGAAAGTGAAAATAAAACCACCAAAGCCTCGCACACATCTCCAGCTCTACACTCAGACTGGAGCAGTATTTGATATTTTTCTCTTAACGAATGTTATAATTCTCAGCCTTACCTCTGACAGAAAAAGGAACGGGGATGAATGAACAAATCAACCTATGAAGGAATTCAATAGATGATTTTGTGGAGTGGGGAGGAATGGTTTTTAAATAGAGCAGGTGAATTTATCAGTCAAGATCATCAGGGATCCATCCCATTACAGCTGCTGGGACTGGAAGACGGGATAGATCACTAGGTAATTGCCTTGTTCTGTCCATTCCTTCTGAAGCATCTGGCATTGGCCACTTCAGAAGACAGGATATTGGGCTAGATGGACCCAGTATGACCATTTGTGTTGATGGTAGAGCGTGACAGTTTTAGGAGGGAAAAAAAGAGAGAAAGAAAAGGGGCTCTCTTACTGGTTCATTTAGGATCCTCATTCTCATTGGCTCAGGGGAGCTGGACTCCTACTAGCCAATCAGAATGGAGGAACTGCTCAGCTCTAAGGTTATAACAAAAGTCGCTCAACCATTCTGTTTTGTTGAGAGAAGAAAGGTGTCCTGTTAATAGAGGTGTGTAAGGCTGCTTGTGAGGAAAGGAAGTTGCCTCGGTGAAGTCTTGTTCAGTAGGGTGGGGCTACGGTTTCCTGTGGGTAAGCTGTATAAGCTGCTACATGAGATGTAGTAGAAATGTTGCCTTTAGATAATTTAGTTGTTGTGCTGAAGTATCTGAGAATGAGTCCTGGGAAAGTGAGACGAGCCAAATTGTTCTGCACCATCCATAGTTTGCTGTCTACAAAGATTGAAGAGCTGAACACGCTCTTGTGGGGTCTTGCCCAACATTGAGGCTGTGTTTTTGTGTGAGAAAGCACCACCCAGCAACAGTAGTAACTAACACTGAATGTAGTATCAAGAACTAAGGCTGTGTCTGTTTTTGCCTTCCTATCACCTTTATAGGAACAGGCATAGCAAAGTCTCCCTGACAGAGATAGGAAGAAACTTCTGATAATACATTAGCCCTACTCTTCATTCTAGCTAGCTATTGTTAGCTACGGGGATTTCCTTTAAATTTTACCCACATTTGATTTCCTTCGTTGATCTATATGATCTTCATGATAGAAAACACTGCAAAGGGAGCACTGATTACAGGTAATGCATATTCCACCGGTTTACAATGCATATAATTCCATAGTGTGTGCATACAACAAAATAAGAATTTGTCTCCGTATGTGGCCAGCTAAGAAATATACAGCTCCACTGGGTATCTATGTATATGGGATATGTTCGTTTGCACATTTCTGAAAATTTGTTCCTTAAATGAGAAAAGTTCAGATACATAAAGGGGAGATTTTCAAAGGCATATATGGCCGTTAAACTCAATCAGAGTTGGGAGTCTTCATAAGAATTAGGCTATTCCAGTTAGGCCTAATTGTTATTTGTGACTTTGAAGCTCTTTCTTTAAAAGTCTACAAGGACAAAAGGATGCAGAGTTACAGGAGAATTAAGAGCACAATTATAAAGGATCTCACTGCTGCAGGACTTTATGTGGTTTTTTTTTTTTTTTGGGCAGGTGAATGTATTGCTTAATGTTTGTAATCCTCAGCCAAACACATTTGTCATGTAGTTACATAGCCCAGTTTTGTGACCTATCCCAGACAGCAACTCATAAATATTTCGGACAACGCCAGCGGGGGAACTAGCTCAGTGCCCTGGAGCGGGGAGGGCGAAATGATTGTGCAAATCGGGGCTGGTGCTTTTTTGGGGCAACACGAGTGGGGCGGAAGAAACACAGGCTGGGGAGAAACGCAGGGACAGAAGTAAAGCAGGGGATTGATTCGGTTGCGTCGGGCTCTGCTCTCTATCTGCCGCCGGGCTCAGTGTCAGGGCGGCGGCCCCACGTGCGGGTCTGGGTGGCAGCAGCTGGGATTGGGTCGCAGGGACATGCCCGGTTCAGTTTCTCTCCCCGCGGCTTTTGCGGCCTCCCGCGCGGCTCGGGAGAATCCCCGGCGCAAGAGAAGGAGAAAACCGACTCTCAGCCAGGTCATTCTCCGGGCTGCTGCTGTCCCCGTCGCCGGCAGAGGCGCCTCTCTCGCCGCCATCAAGAAGACGCTGGAGGGCGAGGGATACGACGTGCGGAAGAACAAGGGCCGCATCAAGGCTGTGCTCCGTTATCTCCTGAGCCAAGGGGCCCTGCGTCGGGTCAGCGGCAGCGGCGCCTCGGGCTCTTTCAGGCTCCAGCGGGGAGGCGGCGCCCCGAAAGCAGAAAGGAGGGGAACAGCCGCGGCCAAGAGGCGCCAGAGCTCGGCGAAGACAGGAACAGCTGCCCCAGGGCCAAATGACCCCAGTGGGGAAATCAAACCGGCTGCAGCACGGCCCAAGAGGGTCAGCAGGAGCCCGGGCAAAAGCAGGGGGACGGTGGCAACGCGCAGGAAGCAAATCTTAGAAGATATTATTAAGGGCACCTTCCTTCTGC